TACTAAGGAAATTTTCGGCAAATTGTGAATTGATTGCAATTTGGTAGACAGCGATAATTATATTAGCAGGGATGGAAGATCCTGTGGGATTTAAAAATATATCATCCCTAAGGGATGATTTTTAGATAATCTAGATAATCAAAATATTGATTTGAATGATATACAATGTGTATAATTATGTTGTTTTATTTTATCCTTCCCTTATATTGTTGAGGCATCGACTTGACACATATGTTTGAGTTTGTCAGATATGTGCAGCATCACGATGTTTTCCTTCACCGTAACAACATAGGATAAATGTACATATGTAAATGTAACACATTCATACATTCCAGTATTCGAACCTTGTATAGAATTCGGTCCAATCATCCGCTTAAAAGCGTCAATGACTTTTTTGTATAACACATTAAACCTATTAAAAATAAACTAATTTAAGTAAAGTTTACTAGAATAAACAAACGAAAACCTCATACAAATTGGTTAAGTCTTTGTTTTTTTTTTATAAAATAAGATGGCAAACGAGCGAGCGGTCACCTGAAATCGCTGAAGTAGCGAAGTGACCGTTGCCCATAGACATACGCACTTGCATATGCGTTGCCTACTTTAATCGACGGAGGAGAGGATGCACAGAAAGAAAATATTTTCCCTCACCATGCATCCTCTCATCCGGAAAGTCCAATTCCAATTCCCATCCTTTCTGATGATTAATGTACACAAATATCCAGACAAAGACAGTTCGGTATATACTAAAAGATAGAGAAAAGCATGATAAAAATATTTTATTAAAATATCTTGTCTTTATTGTTAATCATACATATTTTGAATATGCGCTAAGACAACTCGATATCCTGAACTCCAAGGTACTTTAGGACTGAAGCTATATTTAATCTTCAGTCTACGTCTTGACCAGTCCATACCAACACCAATGCTGGGATAACATATACTACCGCTCAGTATACCTAGAATGATAAACAAACAAGTATAATTAACCAAAAATATAAAAACTGGTTATCGCCAACTTCTATGTTTTGAATTGGCCAGGTTCGCTCGGTGAAATACCACCACCACACAGAAAACAGGCGTCAAGTGGAAGAAATTCCGCGTTTCGTCTGATGAGTGTGCGTCCCGGAGGCCCTACCTCCCCCCTCTTTAATACAACATGGCAGTAGGATGGCCGGCAACGCATCTGCGGTTCCTCTGGTAATGCTGATGTCCATGGGTGTGCCTTAGTAGTCTATGTGTTCTTCCAGACTATGTTCTAAATCTATGAATTTCAGCGAGATGCAGCTGTTCTAAAGAAACCTTCTAACAAACATCCATCTATACTTTCAAACATTCGTATTTATAATACAAGCTGTTGCCCGCGACTCCGTCCTCGTAGAATGAAAAAAACACTTAGTAGCCTATGTGTTCTTCCAGACTATGTTCTACATCTATGAATTTCAGAGAGATCCACGCAGACTTTCTGGAGATACAATCTAACATCTAAACATTCGCATTTATAATATTAGATTAAACGTACCTATTATAAGTAAAATGTTAATTTTGAACATATTTTAAATTTCAACTTTCTTCTTTAACATCTACGGAGAAACTGAAACACATTGGATTATGTTTTTATAAAACATTTGACGGTTTTGCAAATTGATTAAAAGTTAACATTAACATTATGAATCAATTGCAATATAAACAATGTTATCAAATCATTTTAAATTACATTTCCTTTTTTATTATAAAAAAACTAACAGTCGCCTGCAACTCCGTCTTCATGAAATTAAAAAAAAAAATTAATTAGTCTATATGTGTTCTTCCAGACTATGTTCTATATCTGTGCCAAATTTTATCAAGATTCTTCGGGAAGTTCCACAGATAACTTGTAACAAACGTATTAGTAAGATTACTCAATGTATTTAAACGTGCCTTTAGTTATTTTAATCTCGTTCCCCTTAATTTTTATTATAAAGAAATGATGGAAAGAGTAAGTAGATTTGTTGTAGGTAGGCAACGCATTTACAATTGCAGATGTGTGACAGTCGCTTCGCTATTTCGGCGGAATTCAGCTTGCTCTAACTCCGCAGTAAAAAGAAACTTTATAAGTAGTATAGTTCTTCGAGATTATATTTCTACATCTATGCCAAATTGAGGTGAGATTCATGCAGCCGTTCTGGAGATATATTCAAACAAACATACATCTAAACATTCGCATTTATAATATTACTAGCGGACCCGACAGACGTTGTCCTGTCTACACGTCTTTAATTTGAATAAATTAATATGAATTTAATATTTGATGAAAATAGTGAATCTAAACCATTCCCAGATCCCCTTGAACACACACAAAAAAATTCATCAAAATCGGTCCAGTCGTTTGAGAGAAGTTCAGTGACATACACACTCACAGAAGAATTATATATATAAAGATTAAGATTTATCCCATCCATATACTTTTAGATAAAAAATAGATAGTAGCTGATTCGCAAAGCATGTTTTAAATGTGAACATGAATATGCATATAAAGTTTCTTAAAAATCGGTCAAGTTTAGGAAGAGTATGGCAACATTGGATTGTAGTAACGTAACTTTAAATCGTCTCAGATTTTTCTTT